GGGGGGTGGGGGGGCTCGTCCCCGCTGTCCCCAGCTGTGCCCTCTGTCTGTCCCCAGGTGCGGCCGTGCTCCACCCGCTTCACCTTCCGCACGGGCCGGCAGGTGCCGCGCCTGGGGGTGATGCTGGTGGGCTGGGGGGGCAACAACGGCACCACGGTGACAGCGGCCGTGCTGGCCAACAGGCTGGGGCTGTCCTGGATGACCAAGACGGGGCGAAAGGTGGGTGTCCCCAGCAAGGTGGGTGTCCCCAGGGTGAGCCCTCCAAGGTGGGTGTCCCCAGGGTGACCTGAGTGAGGGTGTTCCCCCAGTGTCACCCTTGCAAGGTGGGTGTCCCCAGTGTGACCCCTACAAGATGTGTGTCCCCAGAGAAATCCCAGTGAGGTGGGTGTCCCCAGCAAGGGGGGTGTCCTCAGTGTGACCTGAGTGAGAGGGGTGTCCCCAGTGTCATTCCAGCAGGGTGGGTGTCCCCAGAGATGCCCCAGCAAAGGGGATGTCCGCAGGCTGATCCCAGCGAGGTGGGTGTCCCCAGCAGGGTCCCTGCAAGAGGTGTGTCCCCAGTGTGCCCCCAAATAAGAGGGTGTCCCCAGGGTGACCTCAGTGGCACGGGTGTCCTCAGTGTGACCCCTGCAAGGCCCATGTCCCTGGGGTGTCCCCAAAAGGACCCCAGTGATCTCCTGGGACCTGGGGTCATCCCACAGGGGATGGGGACCCCAAGCTCAGCTGCCTGCACCCCAATCTCCTCCCTGCCCCTGCCGGGGGGGCTCTGCATCCCCAGCCCCCCTCTCTGGGGGTGCAGGGACCCCTCCTCCCCCTGCCAGCACCTCATCCCTGCCTGTCCCCTCCCAGACAGCCAACTACTACGGCTCCCTGCTCCAAGCCTCCACCGTGTGCCTGGGCACCGGCCCCTCCGGTGATGTCTACGTGCCCTTCCGGGACCTGCTGCCCATGGTGCACCCCAACGACATCGTCTTCGACGGTAGGTGGGGCACGAGGGGGACCCCCCGGCGGCACGGGGCACCCCGAGCACTTGGGTCACCCCGTGTCCCCCAGGCTGGGACATCTCCTCGCTGAACCTGGCGGAGGCCATGAGGCGGGCGGAGGTGCTGGAGTGGCCGCTGCAGGAGCAGCTCTGGCCGCACATGGAGAAGATGAAGCCGCGAGCTTCCATCTACATCCCCGAGTTCATCGCCGCCAACCAGGAGGAGCGGGCGGACAACGTCCTGCGAGGCTCCATGGCCGAGCAGGTCCTGGAGGGGTGGAGCAGGGGAGGGGACGAGGGCCACCCACGGAGGGGGGGTGACACCGAGCTGACGCGTCCCCTCCCCTCGCCTCGGCCGTGTCCCAGGTGGAGCAGATCCGCCGGGACATCCGAGACTTCAAGGAGAGCAGCGGGGTGGACAAAGTCATCGTCCTGTGGACGGCCAACACGGAGAGGTTCTGTGACATCGTGCCGGGGCTCAACGACACCGCCGACAACCTGCTGAGGGCCATCGAGGTCAGGGGGCGGGCGAGGGGAGCGGGAGGGTGGCACCACCTCGGCCGTGGCTCTGAACCGCCCCGTGTCCCCGCAGCGAGGTCTGGAGGTGTCGCCGTCCACGCTCTTCGCCGTGGCCAGCATCCTGGAGGGCTGTGCCTACATCAACGGCTCCCCCCAGAACACCTTCGTGCCGGGGGCGGTGGAATTGGCCGCCCAGCGCCGCGTCTTCATCGGCGGCGACGACTTCAAGTCGGGGCAGACCAAGCTCAAGTCGGTGCTGGTGGATTTCCTGGTGGGCGCCGGGCTCAAGGTACGTGGGGGCTCAAGGGGGGAATGTCCCTGCCTGCAGGGGACAGGGGGTGACCTGCCCATGCCACCCCTGCCCAGACCAAGTCCATCGTGAGCTACAACCACCTGGGGAACAACGACGGGAAGAACCTGTCTGCGCCGCAGCAGTTCCGCTCCAAGGAGATCTCCAAGAGCAACGTGGTGGACGACACGGTCCAGGCCAACCCCGTCCTCTACGGCCCCCAGGACAAGCCTGACCACTGCGTGAGTTGGGGGGGCCTGGGGGGGTCACACACACGGGGGTGACAATGGGGGTGATGGCGACGTGGCTTTGGCAGGTGGTGATCAAGTACGTGCCCTACGTGGGGGACAGCAAGCGGGCGCTGGATGAGTACACGTCCGAGATCATGATGGGTGGCACCAACACCATCGTCATCCACAACACCTGCGAGGTGCGTGCAGGGCCACCGGGCCGTCCTCGGCGTGTCCCCGGGGTGTCCCCTGAGCGCCACGGCGGCTGCTGAGCCCTCGCTGCCCGCAGGACTCGCTGCTGGCCAGCCCCATCATCCTGGACCTGGCCATCCTGACGGAGCTGTGCCAGCGCATCACCTTCTGCACCGAGGCCGACCCCGAGTTCCAGGGCTTCCACAGCGTCCTGTCCATCCTGGCCTTCCTCTGCAAGGCCCCCCTGGTGCCCGAGGGCACCCCCGTGGTCAACGCGCTCTTCCGCCAGCGCAGCTGCATCGAGAACATCCTGAGGTACCCGGGGGACCCCGTCCTCGTGGCCACCAAGTGCCACCACGCCGGTGCCCGCGGTGGCACCCGAAGGCTTGCAGGGTGGTCCCAGTGTGGGATACTCAGGGTGCCAGGGGGTCCCAGTGCCCACCGTGGGGGTGTCCAAATCCAGGGGGTCCTGGAGCCCAAGGCCTGGTGGGTGGGTCCCAGTGTCACCAGTGGGTTCCAGTCTGTGCTGGTGATGGTCCCAGTGCCCAGAGATGCCCAGGAACAAGGTCCCAGCAAGGATGGGTCCCCATTTCCCAGTCACGGGGTGCCCAAGGGGGACTGGGGTGTCCCAGCACACAGACCCTGGCACCCAGTGGGTCCCAGTGCCTGATGCCCGAGGGGGTGCCCAAAGCAACTGGATCCCGGTGCCCAGCACCAGTGGCTCCCAGTAACCAATACTTGGGGTTCCCAGTACCAGTGGTCCCCAAATCTTTGGGGTTCCTAACTCCAGTGGGTCCCAAAGCTCGTGGATCTGAGCACCAGTGGGTCCCTGCTCCCAGGGGGTGCTCCCAGTACCTGGCGTGCCCCATTCCAGCTGCTCCCAGTGCCCAGCACCTGGAGGTGCCACACTTTGGTGTCCCCCAGTTCCCAAAGCTCATCACCCAGTGCCTGAACACCCACCCCACTGCCCCCACCCCAATTGTTGACGGCGACTCCAAACTGTGAAGCTTTGTACCCACCAATAAACCCCGAGCACAGCGCGACCCCCCCTCTGCTTCCTGGGGTCTCTTCACTCGGGTTCGGGGTCCCTCGCTTGGTCCTTGGGGGTCTCGCCTGGTCTTTGGGGTCCCCCTGGTGGATCCTTGGAACCTCAGCCGGTTTTGGGGTCACTTTGCTTGGTTCTGCGAGTTCCTTCACCTGGTTTTGGGGTCCCTTCGCTGGGTTTTGGGGTCCCTTGATTTGGTTCTTGGGGTCACCCTCACCTCGTTTCTCATTTTATTTGGGGGTCCCCTACTTGGTTTTGGGGTCCCTTCCCTTGTTTCTGTGATTTCCTTCACTTGGTTTTGGGTCCCTTTCTTTGGTTCTTGGGGTCCCCCTCACCTTGTTCCTCTTCGTTTGATTTTGGGGTCCCCTCACTTGGTTTTGGGGTCCCCTCACTTCTGTGAGTTCCTTCACCTGGTTTTGGGTCCCTTTCTTTGGTTCTTGGGGTCCCCCTCCCCTCCTTCCTCTTTGTTTGATTTTGGGGTCCCCCCACCCCCAGCAAGACCCAAATATCGCCGCCTTCTGAAAAAAAATCAAATTACATTTATTGATNAATAAAGGAAGGGGTGGGGTGGGGCGGGCGGGGGGGGCGCTGAAATGACAGGGGAAGGTTTGGCCGTGACGGGGCGGGGTTCGATCATTAAAATTAATGAATTTAATTCATTTTTTTTGTTTGTTTTTTGTATTTTTTTGTTTCGGTGGTGGGTTTCGGGTCTGGCTGTCGGCGGCCTCGGCGCGGGGCTCACACGCTCATTGTCATGCTGGGCGAGTACTATAGAGAGATATAATATATCATATATAATATATCATATATTATGTATTATATATTATATAAATAATATAATATATAATTATATCAATATAACATAATTAATATAATATAATATAAATATTATAAAAATAAATAATATAATATATATAATAAATGGGGTGGTCCCAGCAGATGGGGGAACCCAAATGAAAGGGGTCCCAGTGAATGGGGTGGTCCCAGTAAATGAAGGAGCCCCAGTAAATGGGGTCCCAGTACATGGTGGGGGGCAATAAATGGGCTCCCAGTAAACGGGGCGGTCCCAGAATATGGGGGAGTCCCAAAAAATGGGATCCCAATCCGTGTGGGGGGCTCCCAGTGCATTTACTGGGGGTCCCAGGAAATGGGGGGGGTCCCAGTGCATGGGGGGGTCCCAGTGCATTGGAGATCCCCACTAAAGGAGGTGCCAGGACATGGGGACCCCAATCAATGGGTGCCAGCACCGTGGGGGTCCCAGGGTCCCCAGCTCACCTTTGGCAGCCCATCCATGTCCCCGGAGCCTGCCAGGAGGACAGCAGGGCATTAGAGACCCCCCCAGTCCACGTGTCCCCCCCGAAATGTGTGTGTCCCCAGCCTGTGAGTGTCCCCCAAAGTGTGGCCTCCCAACGCTCCATGAGCCACGTGTCCTTCCCAAACCGTGTGGGTCCCCCAGTCCATCCGTGTCCCCAAATCCTTGTGTGTGTGTCCCCAAATCCCTGTGTGTGTCCCCAAATCCCTGTGTGCCCAAATCTGTCTACATGTCCCTAAATCCCCGTGCCTGTCCCCAAATCCCTGCATGTGTCCCCAAATCCCTGTATGTGTCCCCAAATCCCTCTGTGTCCCCAAATCTGTGCCTGTCCCCAAATTCCTGTATGTGTCCCCAAATCCCCATACCTGTCCCCAAATCCCTGTCTGTCCCCAAATCCCCGTGCCTGTCCCCAAATCCGTGCCCGTCCCCTCAGTTCACTCCCCCCTCCCACCCACAAGCCCCTCCAGCTGCACGAGCCCACCCAGCCTCAGATGAAGCTCACATCCCACAGGGTCTGGGATTTTGGGGTTCCTGTGGGGCACAGGGGGCCCCTCGTGTCCCCAGGGGTGTCCCCAGGGGTGTCACCCACCTAAGGATCCGTTCATGTGGTGCGGCTCCATGGCGCTCATCCCGCCCATGGGCCCCTCTGCTCCGGGCCCCATGGGGAACTGCCAGGGAAAAGGGGGGGGCTGAGCCGTGCTGGGGGGTCCCCAGCCCCCGTCCCCAGCCCCCGTGTCCCCAAAGCCCCGTGTCCCCAGCCCCCGTGTCCCCAGGGCAGCACTCACGCTGGGCCGGCTCCCCGCGGGGCCGATGGGGTTCATCATGGTGTACATGTTCTCGCTGGAGTTGGTGGAGTCTGGGGGGGTCAGCACAGCGGGGGGGTCAGCGTGGGCCCCCCAGATCCCAGTCACACCCCCCAGATCCCAATCATGCCCCCAAATCCCAATCACACCCCCAAATCCCAATCACAGCCCCCCAAATCCCAATCACACCCCCAAATCCCAATCACATTACACCCTCAAATCCCAATCACCCCCCCAGATGCCAATTATCCCCCCAAATATCACTCATACCCCAAACCCCAATCACCTTCCCAAATCCCACTCACAGCCCCCCAAATTCCACTCACGCCATCAAATCCCACTCACATCCCCCAAATCCCAACCATGCCCCCAAATCCCACTGATACCCCCAAATCCCAACCATGCCCCCATATCCCACTCACCCCACCCCAAATCCCACTCCCCCCATCCCCTCCCCTCACTCACCTCCGGGGCTGGGCAGGATGGGGGTGCCGGGGGGGCCACCGCCCCCAGGAGGGCCCTGGAAGGGAAAAGCAAAAAGGGGGGGTGGGTTTGTGGGGGGGGTCACAGGGTCACTGCAGCCCCCCCGTCCCCAAAAGTGCACCCCAATACTCACCACGTAATTCCCAGGGGATGAGGAGGAGTAGGCGATCTGGGGGGACAAAGGGGAGTCAGGAGGGGGGGGACAGGGGGGCAGCACCCCCATAGGACCCCCCCCCAGGGTATTTCCCCCCTCCCCAAATCCCAAAACTTACAGAGTTGGCGTTAGGGTTGGGCCAGGGCCCGCGGCCACCGGGACCCCTGGCAAGGCAAAGGGACAGTGAGGGGGGGTCCTGCCGGGCCCGAGGCTCCCCCCACGCTGGGGGGGTCATGGGGGTGGGCACGGGGGTCTTACATGTTCATGGTGGGCATTCCAGGGCCGGCCAGGGAGCTGGGGGGGGGGCGCATCCCGCTGCCGTAGCTCTGCCGGGAGAGGGGGGGGTCAGCAGGGCTGGGAGACCCCAGCAGTGTCCCCACCCTGTCCCTGTCCCTGTCCCCACCCTGTGCCCCTGTTCCTGTCCCTGTCCCCACCCTGCACCCCTGTCCCCATCCTGCACCCCTGTCCCTGTCCTCTCCTGTGCCCCGTAGTATCCCCATTCCCTGTCCCCAACCCTGTCCCCAAAAGCCATCCCTGTCCCTATATCCCCATTCCCTGTCCCCATTCCCTGTCCCTCTTATCCCATCCCTGTCCCCACCCACATCCTTATTCCTGTTTCCCTGTCCCCACCCCTGAATTCCCATTCCCGTCCCTTTATCCCTGTATCCTTCTATCCCTGTATCCCCATTCCTGTCCCACTGTGCCCATCCCCACATCCTTGTCACCCTGTCCCTGTAACCACTTCCACCCCTGCATCCCTGACCCTGCTCTATCCCAACACCCCAGTACCCCATTATTCCATTATCTCAGCACCCCAGTATCCCATTATCCCAGTACCCTAGTATCCCCCCACCACCCTATCCCCCTATCCCAGTACCCCCCTACCCCAGTATCCCAGTACCCCCCACCCCCATCCCAGTATCCCAGTACCCCCCATCCCAGTGCCCGTACCTGCGGCCCCATCCCGGCCATGCCTCGGGGGGGGTTCATGCGCTGCATCGGGCCCCCCATGCCAGGATGCCCTGCACAAATCGGGGAGGGGGAGGGCGTCAGACCCCGGAGCCCGCCCTAAACCCCCACCCTGGGGTGTGGGGAGGGGCTCAGGGACCCCAGCCTCACCCTGTGACCGTGCAGCCGGGTCCATGGCGTTGGGCAGCAGCGGCTGGGAGCCAGGAACACCCACGGGGGGCTGCAGAGAGGGGGGGGCAACAGGAGGTCAGGGTGCTGGGGGGGGGGGGCTGTGACCCCTGGGAGGGCCTGGGGGGGGGCTGTGACCTCAGGGGGGCTGCTGGGGACACGAGGGGAGGCTGTGTAAACCCCCCCACCCCCAAGAACCCGCTCAGGACACGCAGACACGGGGCTCAGGTGTGTGCTCGGTACCTGGAAGAAGGCGGGGGGCACGGGACCCCCGCCCATGCCATCCCCGGGGGGCAGGTTCCCCATCACCGGGCTGGGCGCTGCCGCCGCGCTCTGCGGGGACAGACAGCTCAGAGCGGGCTTGGGGGGGTCCCCAAAGCCCCCCAGACCCCATTATCCCCCCAATCCCAGCACCGAGCTCGCCCCCACATCCCCCTCGCAGCTCGGGGCCGGGGGGCGCGGGCGGGGGGCGCCGGCCCCGCGGCCCCGTCCGGGGGGAGCTGTAAAGGGAAGGAATGCGCCGCTTTTCCGGCTCCAACGCGCCACAAATGGTTTCAATTTGGAGGCCAGCAGGAGAAGGGGGGGACCCCGCGCTGCCCCCTCCACCCGGGGGGCCCCGCGCCCCCCACCCCGCCCCCCAAGCCCACCGCCAGCCCGTGCGGGGATGGGGGGTCCCGCGGTGCTCGGGGGGTGCTGGGCTGGGGACAGGGATGGCGATGGTGACACCCCGTGGCACACGGGTCACGGCTGGGTGACAGCCAGGCTTGGTGACAACGGCACCCAGATGGGGTCTCCACCCCATGGGATACGTGGGGGTCCCGGGGTGGGGGGTCGCAGGCTGTGTCCCCTCTTGGGGACCCCCTCTGCTGCCCCAGACACAGCGACAGGGACAGGCTGAGGCCACTGCTGTCCCCCAGCTGCAGCCCCCCGGGGGTGACAGCGCTGTCCCCTCAGAGCAGGGACCAAATGGGGACCCCCCCCGTCCCCCCCATCGCTCGGTGATGCAAAGCAGAGTTGCCATGGCAACAGGTTGGGGAGCTGCGGCTCCTCCCGCGGGCTCAAGGTCAGGAGGGAGAAAATTGGAGGGGGGGGACGACACACAGGTGGGGGACAGTTTGGGGGCTGCTCACCCCCGGCGGGACCCCAGACCCCGCTGTGGGGCAGCTGCTGCCAACACCCACCCCCAACTGCTGTGCACAGGCTGGACCCCCCCCAGTTTTAGGGGGTCACCAGGATTCTCCCGGGGGTCCCGATGTGCCTGGTGGGGATGGAGGGGGTGGAGCAGCACCCCTGGGGACATGAGGGGGCTGCACCTCCGTGCTGGGACCCCCAGTTCAGCCCAGCTGGGCACTGGGACGGGGTCAGGGCTGTGTGGGGCACCCCAGCGGGCGCGGGGGGGGCCGTGGGGCTCCCCCCTCCCCAGCTGTCCCCAGCTCTGCCAGGCAGCAGTGCCATGGCAACGTGGCCTGACCCGCGCCATGTCCCCGGCGTCACCGGCACCGCACCGGCAGCCTCATTAATTCCAGCATGGAAATCAGCTCTGCACAGCGCTGGGGGCGGCGAGGGGGGGGTCCTGCTGCAGCCCCCGCGGCGCCAGCGCGACCCCACGGGACCCCAGGGGACCCCACGGGGGTCAGGGGTTTCCTGGGGGGCAGCAGCTCCGTGTGGGCCCTGCAGGGTCCTGAATCCAGGGGGCACGGAGGGTCCTGCAGCCCCCAGAGCCCCCCCCGTGGCACTGTGGGTGTCCCCCCAGGGGACAGGGACCCGCCCCCCCAGCACCCCATCTGCATCCCACGGGGGCATCTTGCACTGCACAGCATCCCTCATCCCGTGGGACTGGGGACAACACAGCATCCTACAACATCCCACAGCATCCTGCATCACCCCACAGCATCCCACATCACCCCAGAGCCTCCTGCATCACCCCACAGCATCATGCATGACCCCAGAGCATCATGCATGACCCCAGAGCTTCCTACAACATCCCACAGCCTTCTGCATCACCCCACAGCCTCCTGCATCCCATGGCATCTCCCATCCCAGAGCACCGTGGGCTCCACAGCATCCCACATCACCCCAGAGCCTCCTGCATCATCCCACAGCCTCCTGCATCCCCCATCCCAGAGCACTGTGGGCTCCACAGCATCCCACATCCCACAGCCCTGTGGGTCCCACAGAACCCTGCATCCTGTGGGGCTGTGGACCCTGCATCACCCACAGCACCCTACAGCATCCCACAGCATCCCCCTGCATCCCACAGCACCCCACAGCACCCTACAGCATCCCCCTGCATCCCACAGCATCCCCCTGCATCCCACAGCACCCCACAGCATCCCCCTGCATCCCACAGCATCCTTTGGGACATGGATCCTGCATCATCCTGCATCCCATGTGCTCTGGATCGTGCATCCCACAGCACTGTGGACCCTGCAGCACCCCGGGGACCACTCCCCACCCCAGGGCACGGCGCAGCCCCCCCGTGCCTGGCAGGAGCAGGGCAGGGACACACTGCCCCCGTGCCAATGACTGAACCCCCAGAGCTGGCACTAGGAAGGAGCAGAGCCGTTCTGGGGGGGGTCCCCTCAGTGTGTGGGGGTCCCACCGAGCCCCAGTGCTGCAGTGACACCGCTGGGGAGGGGTGACACCCCCCCACACACAGCGAGAGCCTGGCACTGCGCCCATGGTGAGGGGGGGTCCCTGTCCCCAGAGGGGGGTGACAGTGGGGGATGGGCACACCAGGGCACGCCGGGGTCCCCGAGGGGGGGGCACCGAGCCAGGCCCCCAGGGATTAACCCCCCCTCACCGCTGCCCTGTGAAATAGGTCACCCACAGATCCGGGGCTGGCAGCACACAGGGACCCGGGGGGGGTCCCGGCGGGGGGTGGGGGGTCCCGGCGGCGGTGAGGGGGGGTCGGCGGGACACGGACCCCCCCGTGCCGAGGCACTCACGTAGTCATGGAAGGCTTTGGCCTCGCTGGAATGCTCGCAGGTCTCCCGGCGGTCCGGGGCGGCGCAGTACAGATCCCAGAAAACGCTGGGAAAACGGGACGGGGTTGGGGTGGGGGGCGGCGGGTGAGGACCCCCCCCACAATTTACACCCCCGCCCCCCTCCCCAGCGAGCCCCACGTGTCACCGGTGGGGCGGGGGGGCTGCGGCCGTGTCCCCCCCTCGGCGGGGGCCTCCCGGCTCAGCCTGTTTTCCCTGGAAACGGTCGCTACGGCCGGAGCCCAAATTCCTGGGACTTTACATCAGGCTGCAGCATCCCGGGCCGGGATGGGGAGTGGGGGGGTCCCCTGCCGGAGCCCCCCGCCCTGGGTGTGGGACAGCACAGGGGCCCCGTTTGTTTCTGGGTGCCCCCCCAGGTTTAGGGGGTGCCAGCTTAACCCCCCCAAAATCACCAACTGATCAATCACTGCCCACCCCCGAGCCCCCCCACACTCCTCGGGGGGCTCTGCTGGGCCCCCCCCCACCCAGTGCGGGGGTCCAGCCCCGGGGCTGGGAGCCCCCCCAGCTCCTCTCTTGGTGCCAAATTGGATCCAGCTGGAGGAGCCGGGCGGGGGGGCCGGGATGGGAGGGAAAGGGGGGGGCCCCCAAATCGCTGATGGGAAAAGCAGAGGGACAGGTTTATGGGGTACGAGGTGATGTGGTGGCAGAACGGGGGGTGGGGAGCAGCTTCCAGACCCCCTCCCAGCCCTTCTGTCACAGGAATGGGGGGGGGTTCCCCCTTTTCCGACCCCCCCAGATCCCAACTCACCACCACCAGGAGTGCAGGAAGCCGGGGGGCTCCCCCAGCGTGATGTTCTTCTCCCATCGGATCTGCAGGCAGGGACACGGGCAGGGGGGGTCAGCGGGGGGGGTCAGCACCCCCACCAGGGGTGGGAGCGGCTCCAGAACCCCCCGTGGGTGGGATGGGGGGGTCCGGGGGTGCTGCCCTCCCCCCTTACCTCCGACAAGAAGGTCTGGGCGGATTTCTGGGCCCCCACGTGCAGCAGGTACTCGTAGACGTAGAGCGCCAGCCTGGGGGGACAGGACGGGGACAGGGACAGCGTCAGGGAGCGGCCACCCCCGCGGTGACATCCCCACCCAACGGACCCCGAGGCACGGCCAGGACGGAGCCCCCCGCCCAATCAGCGCAGAATTAACGAAGGAGGTTCGATGTCACCTCCCTGCGAGGTGACACGGGTGGCACCGAGTGACTCCCGCCGGTGGCACCGCACGCCCTCCACGGCAGCACGGCCGGGGTGGCTCCAGGACAGGCGACACAACCCACACAGGATGTGGCTCAGTGCCACCACGCGTGTCCCCGGGGCTCCGTCCCCTCCCGGGACCCGCGGGGGTCCCAGCCCCGGGGGGTGCCGCTCCCGGGGACCGCGGTGGCCTCGGGCACGGGGACACTGCAGGACAGGGACAGCGGGGTCACCGTCCTGGGCACCGGGGGTGGCAGCGGCCGCGGAGCATCGGGAGCCCCGGTGCCATTCCGGTCCCCGCTGCCCCGGGGGATGGCACGGCCGGGGAGGGCTCCCGGTGCCCTCGGGGATGCTGCGGACCGGGCACATCCCGGCGCCCGGTAGCCCCGGTGCCACCGCGGGTCACGGTGCCCCGGGGGATGGCAATGCCCCCGGGATCAGCCCGGTGTCCCGGAGGATGGCAGAGACCGGGGGGCACAGCCCAGCTCACGGTGCGCTCGCGGTACCCTGGCGGATGGCACGGACCGGGGGGATCATCCCGGGTCCCGGTGCCCCGGGGGATGGCACGGTCGGGGAAGGGGCATCCCGGCTGCCGGTGCCCCCGGGGATACCGGGGAGATCAGCCCGGGTCCCGGTTCTCCCGGTGGCCCAAGATGTGGCAATAGCCGGGGGGCACATCCCGGCTCCCGTTAGCCCCGGCGTGATCGCGACTCCCGGTGCCCCGGGGGACGCCACGGACGCCGGCACATCGCAGCTCTCGGTGCCCCGGGGGACGTCACGGATCGAGAGGGATCATCCCGGCTCCCGGTGCCCCGGAAAGCCACGGACCGGGGGGATCATCCCGGTTCCCGGTACCCCGGGGAACGGCACAGATCGGGGGGAATCATCCGTGCTCCCGGTGCCCCGGGGGATAGCACGGACCGGGGGGATCATCCCGATTCCCGGCGCCCCGGGGGATGCTACGGATCGGGGGGCTCATCCCTTCTCCCGGTGCCCCGGGGGATGCCGCAGACCGGGGGGCTCATCCCGGCTCCCGGTGCCCGGCTGACCCCCGCCGCTCCCAGGGTGGACGCGGAGCCGAGGGGGTGGGAGCGGGGGACACGGAGGAGGGGAGTGGGCACGGAACACGGAGGCGAGGGGTGGGCATGGAGGGGTAAGGACTCGAGGGGGGTGGGCACCCAGGGATGGGGGCACACGGAGGATCAGGGACACGAGGGGGTTGAGTTAAAGGGGCAGTGGCACGAGGGGACACGGGCACGGTGGGCACGGAGGGACACGAGGGGGTGGCACGAGGGGTACAGAGGGTGGACATGTGGCAGGGTGGGCACGGAGGGACACGGACGAGACAGGGTGGGCACGGGCATGAAAGGGTGGATATGGGAGGGGGGGACACAGGGGGACACAGAGGGACACGGATGTGACGGGGTGGACTTAAAGGGGCAGTGACACGAGGGGATGGGGACAGGAGGGACACGGAGGGGCACAGGGGGGTGGCCACAGACACGCGACACAGAGGGACACGGATGTGACAGGTGGACGTGGGGGTGGACACGTGCGAGGGGTTGGGCATACATGGACACGGACACCACGAGGGGACACACGGACACCACGAGGGGACACACGGACAGGGATGGGAGCAGGGAGTCACGAAGGGACTCGGACACCAGGGGGCGGGCACGGACACGGTGTGACACCGGGGGGACACGGCGGGGACACGGAGGGGACAAGGATGGACACAGGGGAGTGGACGTGGAGGGACACGGACACCGGAGGGGGCTCGGACATGGGGAGGGGACACGGACATGATGCACTCGGGACACGGGGAGGCGACACCGGGATGGGGACAGCCACCCTGCCAGGGGACACAGCCACAGAGTCCCCTGGCTCCCACCCGGCCCCGGGGTCCCCTCACACTCGGGGGGTCCCTGTGCTGCCGCGGGGGGGGATCTGTGTGCCCACGTGCGTGTCCCCCCCCCCCCCTCGGGTCACGGGGGTCACCGGGACACTCAGCCAGTGCCAGGGGGATGCTCAGTAGCCCAAAAAGGACCGGGAGGGTCTGGCAGGGGTCAGGGGGTGCTGAGGTGGGGGTGCTGCCCCCCTGCCCCCCCCTCCGGGGCCGGCTACGCCCTGGCAGGGTGACACGGGACAGCCGGACCCGCCTGTTCCTCTTCCCCACACCAGGCAGCAGCGGCCGGAGCGCAGGCGAGTGGGGCTGCCGTGGTTGGGAGGGGGAAGGGGGGCAGGAAATGCCCCGCTGGGACCCCCAGGAGCTGCCCAGCCCCGCAACAGCGGCAGCGGGGTGGGGACTGCACTGGGCTGCACTGGTTTGCACTGGGAGGGGGCATCCGCTGGCAATGGGGGTCCTGATTCCCGTTTCCCACCAGGCTCCCGCTGCAGTGGAAGGACCATGGGGGTCCCCGCGGCCCCGCTGCTGCTGCTGCTGCTGCTGCTGCTCCCGGTGAGCCCCTTTTTCATCGTGTCTCCGTGTTTCCCCTTGCTGCTGGGCATTTCCGATGAGCTGGACCTGAGCAACAGGAGCAGCGGCTGTGCCGAGCTGGACTGGGGCCCGTTCCGCCGGCAGCGCCGGCTGCTGCTGAGGAACAACGGCATCGAGGCGCTGAGCCCCTCGGCCCGCCTGGGACCCCGGCTGGAGGAGCTGGACCTGGCGGAGAACCGGCTGCGGGAGCTGCCCCGCGGCTTCTTCAGCAACGCCACGGCCCTGCGGAGCCTGAGCCTGGAGGGGAACCCCCTCCCCGCCGTGCCCCCCGCCGCCTTCCAGCCCACGCTGAGCTCCCTGAGCGTGTCGTGCCGCTGCGACCTGCTGGGCACGGTGCTGGCACCCTGTGCCCGCGAGGGCATCACCTGCCTGTGCCTCACATCCCACGGGCATCCCTTCAACGTCACGGAATTCCACGGCCGGGAGTGCGGGCCCGGCGCGGGGCTGGCGGCCGGGGTGGCCGCGGGGGTGGTCGTGCTGGTGGCAGCGCTGGTGGCCGCGCTGGTGGCCGCGGTTCGGTACCGGCGGAGGAGAGCGGGAGCCGCGGTGGGCGGCGTGGGGAGGGGGAAGCGGGATCCCGCTGGAAACCCGCGGCAGCCGCGCTACATCAGCCGGGACACCGGGAGCGGCTCCGCCGATGTCACCGACGGCCCCGACTACGAGAACGTGTTCGTGAGCCCCGGCACGGCCCCGGGCGCCCCGCGGGGATGGGCACCGGCGGGGCAGGAGCCGCGCTACAGGTGAGGCTGCGGCACAGGGAATGGGCATTCCGGGAATGCTCCATCCCCTCCCTGCTGGGCTGTGCCCTGGTGGGTTGTGCTGCCCTATGCGGCCTCATGCCACTCCATCCTGTGCTGAACCTGCCGTCCCATCCATCCCTTTCCATCCAGCCCATCTCAGCCCAGCCCAGCCCAGCCCAGCATTCCCCCCTCCCTGAGCCCCCCCTGTCCCCCAGCCCCCAGGTCCTGCTGGATGAGGATTATTTCCTGGAGAGCGATCCCGGGGACCAGCCCATCTACGCCAACACTGTGTGCCCCACTGAGGACATCTACATCATTCCTGACCAGTGAGGGGCTGGGGGACCCTGCCGGGGCTGGGGGGACCCCCCTGTGTCCCCCACTGCTGCCCTTTCCCCGGCTGTCCCCCAGCCCAGAGGGGACAGGGACATTCCCCGCAGCCGTGCAGGGCTCCCACGCACGTCCTGCGGGAGCGCCTTTTGCAGGGAGGATTTTTTTGGCAGCCCCAGTCGCCTCCTTCGCCCCGGTTCTCAGGCGGAGGTGAGGGCTGAGCTGGCGTTTCCTCCCGGGGCTGCGGCCACCGACCGCGGGGACACCGGGTGCCACATCCGCCACCGGAGCCTCGGGGCCAGCGCTGGAGGAGCGGGGCTGGGCTCGGCCTGGCTGAGCTGGGACTGGCTGAGCGGGGCTGGGCTCGGCCTGGAGGAGCTGGGCTGGGCTCAGCTCTGGAGCTGGGCTCAGGGCTGGAGCTGGAGCTGGGCTCAGGACTGGAGCTGGAGCTGGGCTCAGCTCTGCAGCTGGAGCTGGGCTCAGCCTGGAGCTGGAGCTGGGCTCAGCCTGGAGCTGGGGCTGGGCTCAGTCTGGATCTGGAGCTGGGCTCAGCCTAGCTGAGCCGGGCTGACCACAGCCTTGGCTTCCTCTTCCCCTTTCTGGGCCGGTGGAGAGCATGGGGTGCGCTGGCCTGGGGACGTGCTGGCGGTTGGGGACATCCGGTGGCACCTGCTCAATCTTTTCCTGCGAATTCTGCTGCTTTGGGGAACAAAGAAAAAGCTCCTTTTTTAAATCCTCCTGGTGGGACCCCGTGCTGTTGGGACACAGGGACCCCATGGCTTGTCTGGGTGTCCCCCCAGTCCCTGGGAGGCTTCACTGTGCCCCATTAAATGGTTTAATTATCTCTAATTACCCGCATAGCTCGTGGTCTGTGGGAAGCCCTGGGCAGGATGTGGGGTTTTCCTGGGGGCTCCCAGAGTCTGTGTCCCCAAAGTGGGGGTCCCAAGGGAGCAGACCCTCAGGAGCAGGTGCCCAGAGCCCCAAAGTGGGGGTCCCAAGGGACCAAAAGCCAGGTTTGTCCTGTCCCCTGTCCCCAGAGAGGCCATCTCCACAGCTTGTATCCCCCAGTCCCTCGTCCCCAGAATCCCCAGCCCAGAGCAGAGATCCCAGAGATCCCATATCCCACCTGCCCCAAGCCCAGCAGGAGCTGCTGAGCAGCCCAGGACACCCCCGGATCACACTGGAAGAGGGGACAGGAAGGATTTGTGACCAGCAGAGCCACCCCATGGAGCCACGGAGAGGCCTTGGGGACACCGCGTGTGCCACCAACCTCCGAGGGGGGTTCCCCCCATCCCTTTGGTGCCCGCGGGGTCCCAGGGCTGGAGGCACCTGGAAATGGGGCAATGGTCACCCCCCAGCTGGACGTCACCCCAGGGGTCAGAGCTGTGCCCAGCGCCCTTCCCAAGGACACAAACAGCTCAAAGGTCTCTGGGAGCAGAGCCCAGGCATTACTCACATGCTGGCACTGCAAAGCCGTGAGGATTTACCAGCAAATCCACATGGAGGCAGATCCCAGGGGAGCTGAGGGTCCCAGGAGGAGGGGTCCTGTCAGAGACCCCCCCCCAGGTGTGCAGGAAGAACAGCCAGAATCCCTGTTACAATCACTTTATTCATTATTATTACATCCTTTTGATTTTATAGAAATATATAAAATAGAAAACCTCAAAACCCTCTCCCTCTTTCTCCCCCCCCAAAAAAGGATATTTTGCTATAAAATACAATAAGTTAGAAATAAATAACTGGGTTGCATAAATAAGTCTCTGAGCAGAGAAGAAGGTTTGGAGTGAGACACCTGGGCACAGACCCACCCCAGCACATCGGGGGTCTCTTGGGTGGGAAGGATCCACCTGCTCAATAAAAGATGGATTTAAAGTGGAGAAGAGACAGGGGAATAAGTTATTTTGGTAGAGAGTTCACAACTGGAGATACTGGGGCTGAGCTGGGTGGCAGAGCTGGAGACCCAAGGGCTGAAGCAGAGCCAGGGCTGGTGTGGAGTCACTTGGTGCTACAGGAGCTGGATTTTGGGATGCTGGAGCTGGAGACTCCTGGTTGAGCCCAGTGCTGGATCCAGGGCTGGCGTGGAGTCACTCGACGCCACCGGATCTGGATTTTGAGATGCTGGATCTGCCAGGAGTCAGGATGGCTTTTCCCCACCTGGATGGGCAAAGCTGGAGCTGTCAGGCACAGTGGCACCTGGTGACCAGCATGTCCTCGAAGAGGCTGGACACCAGCCTGCCCTCGCTGTCCAGGTGCATCAGCACCATGGGGTCGTAGCCAGCGGGGACGCAGCAGGGCGGGGGGGCAGCCTTGGACAGGGAGTGCACTCTGGATTTGATCTGGGCGTGCATGCTGGCCGGTTTGTAGTTGTGGGGGCAGGAACCCTCGCAGAACCTCATGTAGTAGCTGTTGGGGGCGATCACCCAGTCCGACCAGCCGATGTCCTGGAAGGAGACCTTCAGCGACTTCAGGCAGCACTTCCCGTCGCTCTTCCCGCACTCCTCCTCCAGCCCCCGAGCTCTCCTGACAGCCCGAGGTGCCTTCTCCAGGCTTTCCACCTCCAGCAGCAGCGTTTCCCCCCCGGAGGTGGCCAGGGCAGCCGAGATGTCGGTGTTGAAATCCAGCTCCAGGCGCAGCGTGCCCTCGGGCCCCGCCACCCAGGGCTGGATGGCTCCTGTCAGGTCCAGGCTGCGGGAATCCCAGTGCAGCTCCTGGCTGTGCAGGAGCTGGGGGGTCCCCTCAGCCCCCTGCAGGGTGTAGATGGTGACCCGCGGTGGCACCGAGGCGCCGGGAGGGGACAGCGGCTGCTTGAGGAGTTTCAGCTCCGCCCGCACCACGCGGAGCTGCCGGTGGAAATCCGCGGTGCGGGACAGCAGGAGGTGGTAGCGGTAGGGACCGAGGGGCTCCCGGTGTCCCTGGGGGTCCCGGTGGCCTTGAGAGTCCTCATGTCCCTCGGGGATGTCCAGCCAGCGCAACACTGCGGGGACAGAGGTGACAGCTGATGTAAGAGACGGTAATTAATTCCTCACCAGCCCAGGCGTGGGATCAGCTCCGGCCAGGCAGCCAAGGATTTGCTTCCAGGGAATCACCCACATGCTGAGGGATGCTGGAAATTCCAGCATCCCATCCATTCCTGGACCCCCAGGCTGGAGGGTCTCAGTTTTCCTGGTGTCAGAAAAGGCGTCCCAGGACCCACTGGAGCACCCCCACCCAGCCCCCGAGTGTCCCCACCCAGCCCAAGCAGCAGGAGGGGAATTATTTAAATTTTAATATGAATTAATAGCTTTAATTATTTAAATCTCCCCACCCCAGATGCAGATAAATCCCCGAGCTGAAGCTGGGGATCGGGGGGCTGGCACCTCACCTCCTCCTCCCTCTCACCCCCAAATCCCTCGAGCCCCGCTCCGAGCCCCCGAGCTGCCGCTGATCAAAGATTTCATCCCCACCCCCCCTGATTTTTTTGTGCTTTTTAAGCAAAACCCCTCCAGCGCCGCCTCCTCCCCGCTCGCAGGGCGAAGGAAGGAGCAGGATAAGGATGAGCGTGGCCACCGTGCTGCATGCCCGGTCATGTCCCCAGGCAGAGGGGTGACATTCCCGAGGGCGGGACACGCCGGGACACACACGCGTGTCGCGGGCCGCGAGGGACGGGGGGTGACACGGAGCCACGGCCACTTACAGGTGGGGGTCAGGCGGTGCAGCCGCCGGCTCCTGGACACGGCTTCCTCCTCTTCCTCCTCCTCCTCCCGGCTCCGGTTCCCCGCCAGCTCCGCCACTTTGCGCTGGTAGAGCCGCTGCGCTCTCTGGATGCTCTCCTGGTCCAGCTGGCGGCGGATGACGGGGGGAGCTGGCATTCCCAGCCGCTCCAGGATCTCCTTTTTGACGGCTTCCAGCTGGAACCTGTCCTGGTCCCACGTGTGGGGCCGGGAATCCACGGCCGAGAGGAGCAGCAGGAGCTGCAGGCAGCTGAGAGCGGCGCCGCGCATCGCTGCCCTCGGCATCCCGCAGAAATCCCGCGGCTTCAGGGCAGGATTTGCTCCCAAATCTTCTGCAAAGGCTGGACGCGCTGCTGCCGGCGGTGCTGCCAGGGGAATGAATGAATGAAGAGGACCAGACCTGACTTTATAGGAGGCGAACTTTGCCCGCCCTCCGTCCCCCCTCCCCGGAGGGTGACGCCGGAGAGAACTCCCAGCAGGAATCTCTCCTCTCCGCTGGGATTTCCACCAGGAGCTCTGGTTTGTAGCTGCGTAGATAAAAAAAATATGGAATTCTCCTTTTCAGACACAAACCTTCCCCTTGTAGCTCCCGTTTTCCCCACGGATGGCACGGCTCGGAGAATCCCCCTCACCTCCGCTGGTGATGGAGAGGGGATGATGTGCGCTGCAGGCAGCATCCCAAGCACGGATTTCCCATCCTCGCATCCTCAGCCACCTCTCCTGCCCGGCACCTGGCGGGTCGGGTCGCTGTTATCGCGATCCGCCCCTTCCCAAAATCCCAGCGGAGCGGGCAGGCGGCAGCTCCTGCGGGAAGTGCGGCCGGAGCGCGGGAAGGATCCGCACCGGACCTTGTCCCACCGGACAGGTGCGGCCGGGGGATGGGTTCCTACCGAGCCTGGATCGTTCTGAGGCAACCGTGGCCGGGGTTACGTCATCCCAAACGGAGGCAGCCGGGATGGAGCCGGGCACGCCGGTGGCACGGATCCAGCCGGGCCACGTGTGCCGGGCAGCGCCGTGCCAGAGTGGGGCTGGGCAGGAGGAAATCCAGAGTGGGGACGACCCCCAGGGTGGGCACAGCACCGCCCCTCGCCCAGCTTCTCCTCAGGGATGCTTGGATCAGAAAAACGTGCGCAGAGGGATGAGGAGCACGGGGAAACGGGCAGGTCCCCCCTGGGCAGGCGAGGCCGTTCCCGAATGTGCTGAAGTCGATCCAAGCGCCTGGGCTGCAGCCCAGGGAGGAACGTGCCCCTAAATCCCGGGATTTAGGGCTGTTTGTCCCTGGGGCTCGGCTCCAACCCTGCCCCGGCTTTTCTCACCCGCTTGCTCAAGGGGTTGCCTGAGGCAAAGCCGAGACCGAGCGTTTCACCCTAAAACACGGGGAAGGAGAAGTTTGTCGGGGTGACCGGGGTCATGGGGAGGGGATTGCCCCGGCCCTGGCTCTGCTGCCCTGCTCTGGATCCGTCCTTGCAGCAGGGTGGGTGAGGAGGAGCAGGAGTCCCCCAGGTCCCCATCTCACTGCTTTTCCCTTCCCACCTCGGAAGGAAATCCCACAGGGAAACCTCAGGTTTATCTCCAGGGCTTGATCCCATGTGGATTTGGGCACCTGGAGTGGCACATCACCCATCCTCCCAGCAGCTGGGCAGGGATGAACTCCACAGGGAATTCCCAGAGCCCCAAGGCTGCTGTGATTCCTCTCCCAGGGATTTTATCAGCCAGGGTGATTGCAACCCTCCAGCCCCCCAAATTCGGGAGGAAAGGAGAGGGAGCATCACCCCAGGAAGGCACAAGGGCAGAACCACCACACCATTCCCTCCCCTCTGGACATCTCCAGTCCACACCAGGCACCAGCCCCCTCCACCATCCCTGGGTGCCAAACGTGCTGATCCAGAGCCAAAACGGAGCCCTTGGCATGTCCGGGTGCAGGAAGAGGCCCCGACCTCTCCGGTGTCATTGAGCAAGACCCGGCAGAAACCCCGAAATCCCCAAGTTCTGCTTTTGCAATGGATTTTCTGCGAGCCCCACATCCAGGAGTGACGCACTGCGAGAGCATCAAAGGTTGCTGGAGCCGGATGTTTTCCCCCAAAGGCGCCAGCAGTGGAAGCCAGAGATTTACAGTCCAGGAAGGGCCATAAAAGAGGGATTTTGGGAGCAGTGGTTTGATCCTGAGTGAGAGATGATGAAATGTCCCAGCGTGTCCTCACCAGCCCGCGTTGCGCAGCCTCTGCGTCCCACGTTTCCTCAGCTCTTCCTGGACACACTCAGTGCTGGGAGGTCAGGTTAATGGGTGCCTTTTCCCAGCAGGATGAAGGTTCCTCTCCAGTTAATGCATCCCACGGGGGTCCCTCATCTCGGCACAGCTCTCCTGGCACGGACCTAGCGCAGGGGATTGCTGGGGTGGGCTGAGGGTGAGGAGGATCCAACTCTGGGAAGTCCAGGAGAAGCTCCACTTGTGCACTGCTGAGCCTGGAAAGGTGTGGAAGTGCCCAAGGCCAGCTTGGATGGGGTTTGGAGCACCCTGGGACGGTGGAAGCTGTCCCTGTCCACGGCAGGGATGGGCTTTAAGGTCCCTTCCAACAAAACCATTCCATGATTCCAAAGAAATAATGTTTTTCCTTTCTCCAGGTGCTGGTGGTCGGTGGGGAGCCTGGTAAGGACACAGAGCAGGAGGCTCCAGGGCTTCAGCTCCCCCAAAATGCAGGAAATTCCCTGCAGCTGCCCAAGCTGGCAGAAACTTCGAGGGTTTTTGCAGAGTTCCTTACCACAAGTGGCAAGAGGGGAAGTGCTGCCTTCCAGATTTTAGGGCTATCAGTTCCTCACAGCTGTTGAGCAAAGGATCCCCAAAAAGCGCCCAGACACCTCTGGGAATTGGTGGCATCACCCCTGGGAGCCACAGAGCGGGATTATGTTCTTCCCACATCCTACAGGACCTCAGTGCTCCCCAAAACCACTCAGGCTGAGCAAGGTGGGTGCTGCAGGGAGGATATTCCCTGGAAAAAAAAAGGCAGTTCATGCTTTCCCGTGGTGTTTTTTCAACCAAAGGACGAGAAAGGCTGGCTGCTGGCAGCACACGAAGCTCCAAGCAGCTCGTGGGGCTCGGCTCCAGGAATTATTTGGGATGAGAAAACCCAGGTGGGGTTTGCTCCATCCCATCTCCTTTCGGGTCTGGAGAGGGGCAGGGAGGGAAGGGGGACAGGGCTCTCCCTCTGCTGCCAGCGTGGGATGGTTGGGAAGGCACAGCCCGTGTTTTCCCAGCTCTGTCACGACGGATCAGCAGAGTGGATGCTGAGGTGACCTTTGGACGTTTCTAAATCCGAGACAACCACGACGGGTCAGGCAAGCAAAAAAGCAGCTTTTGCCCCCTCACAGCAGGAATCGCATTTTTCTGCCTCTGCCGCGAGTTTACGGCATCTCCCAAAAATGAGACTTCTGCTCCACTTGGACAAAGACATTCCTGCCTGGGCTGCACCCGCGGTCAAAGATTAACTCGGATTCCCAGCCCCCCTCAGCCCGGGAAGGGCAGGAAATGCCTCTGGTCCGACCACCAAAAATGGAAATCTGCCTTGGGAAATCCTCGCTCGCCCCAGCATCACCTTCCTCTCGGGGGTGCTTTGGCTCCAGGATGTTTTCTGCTTCCCAAGGGGAGTCTCTCCTGGATGCAGGAAAGGGCTTGGGTGCCTTACCTGGACAGAGGAGAAAATGGCATGAAACTCTGCAGTGAGGTACGTTGGAAAGTGTCAAACCAGCCCTGAGCAAAAGTGGGATCTTTGGAAGAATTCTTGTCTTTTCCTGTTCACTAAGAGTATTTTTAAATGACTGATTAATGATTTTTTTTTTAACTCTGAGCATTCTCAATCTAAACAGCATTACTTTCCAGCAAATGTGGCCATAATTTTTGTTATTTTTTGTTGTTTTTTTGGCCATTATTTTTCTTTTTTTTGACTGGAGAACATTCAGAGGACAAAAATTGTACGATGGGCTCCCCTGGGCAGGGATTTCCAGGTGGGAGCCGTGCTCTGCTGAGGAGGATTTTCAGTGCACAGACATTAAATGGAATATCTTGAGGGCATCATGGAGCTGGATTTCCTGATCCTTGTGGGTCCCTTCCAGCTTGGGATATTCAGGATATTGAGAGAACAAGCTCAGCCTGGGCAGGACTGATGTGGTGGTTGAGAGGCAGCTTTAAAAAGCAGCTTTTCCACGGTGGGAGCATCTTCCTGCTCAATCTCAGCCTTCCAAAGTGCCAGGAGAGCCCTCTCCATCCATTTTTGGTGTAGATCCAGGAGGAAATCCCAGGCCAAGGCTTTGGGGAGCGTTGGGATCCCTTGGGATGGTGCTGCTGAGCCCAGGGAGCCAGACCAGCTCTGAATCCTTGGGGGGAAAAATGGATGAGGAGAGAGAAAAATGGATGGAGGGAACCAAATCCAACCTGGGCACGTCCCAGAGCAGAATATGTTTTACCAAGGAAATCCTGAGGAACAATAAAAGGGAAAGTTAGACTGGAAAGTTCCTTAAAACTATAGGATTTTAATTGTGGATGTTCTAAATTGTGGGGAAAATGGATGGAGGGAACGAAATCCAACCTCGGCACACTCGAGAGCAGCATCTCTTTTACCAAGGAAACTCTGAGGACACAATAAAAGGGAAGGTTAGACTGAAAAGTTCCTTAAAACTGTAGGATTTTAATTGTGGATGTTTTAAAAATGGGGAAAAATGGATGGAGGAAGCCAAATCCAACCTGGGCACACACCAGAGCAGAATATATTTTACCAGGAAAACCCTGAGGACACAATAAAAGGGAAGGTTAGACTGAAAAGTTCCTTAAAACTGTAGGATTTTAATTGTGGATGTTTTAAAAATGGGGAAAAATGGATGGAGGAAGCCAAATCCAACCTGGGCACACACCAGAGCAGAATATGTTTTACCAAGGAAATCCTGAGGAACAATAAAACGGAAAGTTAGACTGGAAAGTTCCTTAAAACTATAGGATTTTAATTGTGGATGTTCTAAATTGTGGGGAAAATGGATGGAGGGAACGAAATCCAACCTCGGCACACTCGAGAGCAGCATCTCTTTTACCAAGGAAACCCTGAGGACACAATAAAAGGGAAGGTTAGACTGAAAAGTTCCTTAAAACTGTAGGATTTTAATTGTGGATGTTTTAAAAATGGGGAAAAATGGATGGAGGAAGCCAAATCCAACCTGGGCACACACCAGAGCAGAATATGTTTTACCAAGGAAATCCTGAGGAACAATAAAACGGAAAGTTAGACTGGAAAGTTCCTTAA